ATCCTCAATGAAATAGACTGACACAGTGGCTGCAACAATGGGCTCAAACCTTATAATAGATTCTAAGGATAGCTCAGGGCCAGGCAGCATTTTGTTCTGTTGTTACAGAGGGTTGCTATCAGTTCGAACCAACTCAACCATACCTAACAATAACACATATATGTATATGTTTATGTATACATATATAAACATATATATGTGTGTCTAAATATATGTATATATGTGTGTGTATATATGTATATATATATTTTTTTTTTTTTTTTTTTAACTCACTGCCATCGAGTCTATTGGACTCAGCAACTCCTCCTTGGGTTTCCAAGGCTGTATCCCTATGGAAGTAGACTGCCCAATCTTCCTTCCAAGGAATGGCTGGTGGGTTTGAACCTCCAAGCTTCTGGTTAGCAGTCAAATGCCTTAGGCACTACGCTATCAGAGCTCCTCCATACATACACACACACACACACACACACACATATCCACAAGTTTAAAAAGTTGAATGATAGGATCTGATTTTGTGTCCTGCTTCCACCTTTGCCCTCTTTTAGTCTATTTTCAACCAACCAGACAGAATGGATGAGCCTATCAAAATGTAAGTCAAGTCAGGTAACTTCTCTACTCAAAAGGTTTTGTAAAAGCCCAAGTCCTACAGTGAGTGACCTTCGAGGCCCAACAAGATCTTCACCCTCTCGCGCATGTTATTCTCGCGCATGTTATACCTCCAGTCGCATCCCCTCCCACTGTGGCTTCTTCCAGAAGCCCTCCTCAAGTCTCAGTGCCTCTGTGTTTGCCTTGCCTCTTCCTGGAATGCTCTTCCAACCCATATTTGTACAGCCTGCTCTCTCACCTACCTCTAGTGATTACCCATATGCCAACTTCTCAGTAAGGTCTTCCCTTACCCTACTAGATGCCTTATTCCCTGTACATATTCCATTTTGCTCAATAGCACTTAACAATGTCTAACATATTACTAACATACTACATTTTTTACATATTTATTATGTTTATTGCCTGTCTCCACAGTGTAACGTAAGCTCCATGGAAGCAGCGATTTTTATCTTTGTTCACCATTGTATCTCCTGTGCATAGAACGTTCTTGGCACGTAACTCACTGCCACCAAACCCGACTCATAGCGACCCCTCCTTGGGTTTCCGAGGTGGTATCACTACGGAAGTAGATTGCCCAGTCTTCCTTCTGAGCAGTGGCTGGTGGGTTTGAACCACCAGCCTTCTGGTAGCAGTCAAATGCCTCAGGCACTATGCCACCAGAGCTCCTAGCAGGTGAGCTCCTAGCAGGTGAAATCAATGAAGGAGAAATCCAAATATAAATGCATCTACACGTTTAGGCTAGGGTCTTAATGATTTCTTCCCAAGAAAAATAGAAAATGAAAAAATTGCAAAGCAATCTGTAGATCCTTTCAAAATAAGGAAAAAAGAACACTGTTATTCTATATGGTTGGTTATTAAGACAGTGCTTTGAAACTTCAAAAGAACACTCCTTTTCTGTTGACAGACACACTCTGCTCAGGAACTTACGTACAGAGCATTGCTTCCAAATGGCAAAGAAAACAAAGTCTGGGATGTTTCCACACAGCTAATCAAAGAGCACTGATCTGACTGCTGACTGCTGTTTTGCACTGGGAACAACAATTTGAGTTGTTTAATCGCAATAAAATTGACTGAGACTCTCACCATTCTGAAATACTTAAAGTTAATGACATATGTGGGGTTTTTTTTAATTGAGATATCATTCACAAACCGTAAAATTCATCCTCTTAAAGGACAAGTCAGTGGTTTTCAGTATATTCCAAAGTTATACAAACATCACCTCTATCTAATCCCAGAACATTTTCATCACCCCGAAAACAAACCTCAAATTGTTAAGGAGTCACTACCCATTTCCTCCTAACTCCAGCCCCTGACAATCACTTCCCTACTTCCTGTCTCTGTGGATTTGCCTATTCAAATCTAAGTTCTTAGCATATGACCTACATGTTTCTCTTGAGGTCTTATAAACATTGACTGAGGTTATTATACATTGATTGAGCACCATGTTGTATTAATGTATTAATCAAAAAGTCTTCCTTTTGGCATGGGTTCCCAGACCACAAGTGTTGATAGCTCTGTGCTTGAGTGGGTTAAAATGGTGTGCATTGAGACTGCCACAGCAATGTGAAAGACAACCGGACTCATCCCAGCCACAGTGGGTTTATTTCAAACAACAAAGCTCTTATGAAATAAATGAAATCCACAATAAAAGTTGGAGTATGAGGATGAAAGAAAGAAAACTGTCCCAAGAATCTCCCTCTTTCTAGGAATGAAATTGGGAGGGATACTCCAGACAACACCAGCTTTCTTATGTGGGCTCAGCATTCTATACAATACTATGGATGGTGAATAGAGCATGTCACCACCAATGCTTAGAAAAGATATGGGCTTCTTTATTGTAGAAGATAATGGATAAAACAGTTGAAGCATTTATACATTTAACAAGATAACTGTTCCTTGCACAAAAATACTGATATGGCCCATAGTAAGCATTCACTAAGTGCTGGTTGGATATCTGAATGTAGTTAATCATGAGCTAAAGATGGCCGGCTCGATGGCAAACAACAACAAAGATGTCTGTGGAAGCCCTTTGAACACTATACAATGCTATATAGAGGTATTAACATACTTTATGCAAATAACATGCACCTTCGACATCTGTTTGCCAACCACTCCTTCCAAAAAATTAGCATAATGCATCTATAAAACCACCTCCCAAGGGAAGGGATCAGTTGGCAAACAAATGTAGATGGTGGGTGTTATTTTCATAAAAATATAGTACTTATATTTCCTAATATATTTCTTCTCCTTAAAGTCATTCAGCCATTCTCAGGAATTAAAACAACTTTGATCTATGAGAGAAAAAAGAAGATTATAACAGAGGTTATAATCTTCGGGAGATTGAAAGAAAGTAGATTAAGTAGCCAGAAAACATTTGCAAATACAGAATTATATCTGATATGGAAATTCTAACCCAGGGAAGGCTTTTAGGGAGCCTCTCATACAGGAAGGAACCACCATAGAATGAGGGAAGTAAGGGAACACACTCCAAATTTAGTCACTCACATTTAACAAAAAGGCAGGCTGTTGTGCTTGAGCCTCATGTAAAAGCTTGGGATTTCTTTAAAACTTACCTCAGAACAGAGTCTAAATTGGAACCAGATGCTGCACTATTTGGATCAAATTCCACATCCTTTAAGGCAAATTTTTCCAAGACTTCAAAGGTCCTGTTTGACTCTTTGGAAATAACAAACACTTGCTTGCACTTCTCAGTAAAGTCTTCATGATAGGAACGTTCAAAACTGTGCTTGTAGTCTTTACAGTCAAAAGATAAGTTTTAACATCTTAGCTTTGTAGTTTCACATTTTCAATTACACATGGTTATTATACACACCCAGGAAGGTATCTGCCCCTCTGCATCTATATCACCTTATTGGCACCATATTTCATACCTCATTCTATGCTGGTGCCATATTTCATGGCCTATTCCATATGCTAATAAAAGCAAACTACAGAGAAACAATTTAATCTTCCTAATGCTATTTATGGGAGCTCTGGTAGCATAGTGGCTAAGACACTTGCCTGCTAACCAGACGGCTGGCGGTTCAAACCCACCAGCCACTCCTCGGAAGGAAAGTTGGGCAATCCTACTTCCGTAGTGATACTGCCTCGGAAACCCAAGGAGGGGTCGCTATGAGTCGGGTTTGACTCGACGGCACATAACAACAACAACAACAATGCTACTTATAAGAAACTTTGGTTGTGTAGTGGTTAGGGCATTTGGCTACTAACCAAAAGGTCGCTAGTTTGAATCCACCAGCTGCTCCACAGAAGAAAAAATGAGGCAGTCTGCCTCCATAAAAATTTATAGCTTTGAAAACCCAATGGGGGTCACTATGAGTTGGAATGAAATCAATGGCAGTGAATTTGGTTTGAGTTTGGTTTTAATGCTATTTATAAGGAGCTCTGGTGGTACAGTGCTTAAGGCATTTTGCTCCTAATCAAAGGCAGTTCAAATCCACCAGGGGAGAAAGATGAGGCAGTCTGCTTCCATAAAGATTTACAGTCTTGGAAACCCTATAGGGCAGTTCTACTCTGTCCTATAGGGTCACTATGAGTTGGAAATAGACTTGATGGCAGTGGGTTTGATAGATTTTCTTTTTTACCCTCATTGTGAAGCATGAGATTTTAGAGCTACCTGGGTGGTTAAAGGTATCAAAGATCCAAAAAACAAAGTAGTTAGACTTCTTTCCAAAGCCTCTTTTATAATCCTTTCATTCTACATATTTTAACTTGGACATTTAGTCCACATATATACATTCAAGAACAAAGTCTAAAATAAGCTAATCTTTCAATATTGACCAAAATTAATGACAAAGTAAAATAGCATGGAGAAATTATCTGTCCCTAATCCAGATACACAAAAAGTACAGACTCTTGAACACATTAGTGACTATTAATGAATGGATGCAGTTCGTACTAAAGTTAGTCAGAGAATATCAATATTAACCACATTTCAGACTTTAGCCAAATCCTTATATTCTTCCAGGACCTATTTGTTATTATTCATTCTTATTAACTGGCATTTACTCAGTGCCTGATATGTGCCAGGCCCTATTTTTAGGCTTTATGTACATTATCATTCTTAAGGTGGTTAATTGTAACCTATTTTATAGAAGAAACAAAGGCTTACCAATATAAGTAATTTGCTCAAGGTCATACAAAGAAGTGAAAAATCTAGGCTCTGAGGCCATGTCGGTCAGATTCCAAAACTCCAACAATGGAGATTTGTTTTTTGGTTGTTTTTTTTTTTTTTGGCTGCCCAGCATCTATTCACTCTACCCTAGCTGTAGTAACAACTATGGTTTACCATTTGGGATTCACGCATCCCCAACTCTCAACACATTTATTCCAGTGGCTCCACCTGGAGCTCCAGAAGTGCTCAAGGCCCAAGATTAGCCAATTAAGGCATCATATGATCTTTTCAGGAAAAGGTTACATAGCAAATTAGTTTCCAAATCACCAATTCATACACAAATTGTTCTGTGAAGAACATCAGATTTTCTGACATCAGCAACTGGGTCAAGTACAATCACATGTCCCAGGTCAAACCAATTAGAGACATAAAGACTCAATGCTAAGATTCTGAACCATTTCAACTGGACTTAAACCTGAGACTGCTATAGCCATCATCCTTCCATGATGGAGGAGGCACGGATTGGAGCCAACATCAAGACAGCAGAACCAGAAACAGACACCAGGAAATGGTGACATTATTTGAGCCACTGGATGAAGCTTGAGCTGAACCAGCCCTAATCTTGGGGTTCACAGTTATATAAATTCCCTCTGCACTGAAATCAGTTTGAGTCACTTGAAACCAAAAGAGTTATGCATGATACAATGGTCTTTCCAGGGGTCTAAATGATTTGGCTTAGAGTTTGTTTTGCCATCACAGGTGGGTTTTTACCACCACTATCCAAAGCTGTATATAAATGACTTTAGATGGGTTAACACTCTCCTACCTACCATAGACCCATCTGCCTCTATGATAGTACAAGGTCTGGTTCCTGGAAGCATCTGAGAATGCACTTCCTGCTACCATTTTGCATTACCATTAATTGGGCCATTTTTCAGTCATTGAACCTTTTGAGAGTCTGATCAAAGACATAGGCCATCTTTCTATCCCTCCAAACACATATGCATGTAAAAATTCCATTTCTCACACAATTTTAGGAGCTTCACATATTTCTCCTGATATCTGTTTAGGTGAAGAATCTCTGCTATATTTTTATATTGTTCTTCCATTTTAATCTGTTATACATCCACAAAACACTATTCTCAAAAATAAAAGTAATCATTTCATTAGAGGCAATATGATGTCAGGCAGTGCCTTCCAAATTTTCATATGCATGTGAATCACTTGGTCATCTTGTTAAAATGCAAATTCCGATTCAGTAGCCCCAGGATATGGTATGAGATTCTCCATTTCTAATAAGGGCCCAAGTGACACCAAAGTTGCTGGTCCATTGACCACACTCTGAATAAGGGTACAGGAGACCAACCATGGATTTGGGAGTAAACGGGACTGGGGATCAAATCCTGGATCAATCCCTCAGTAGTTATGTAAATTGGGTAAGTTACTTAACTGATATACAATAGCATCCACTGGTTCATCTGCAAACCAAGAATCCTACCACTCATCTATCAGTTTGTCATAATACAGTGGTTTGCATGTTGCTATGATTCTGAAAGCTATGCCATTGGTATTTCAAATACCAGCAAGGTCTCTGGTGGACAGGCTTCAGTGGAACTTCCAAACTTAGACAGATTGGGAAAAAAGGCCTAGTGATCTACCTCTGAACATCTACCAGTGAACACCAATGGCTCGCAACAGAATACTGTCCAATATAGTGCTAGATGATGAAACTTTCAGGCTCGAGGGCACTGCATAACAGCCGCAACAATGGACTTAAACATACCGACAACCATTACAATGATGCAAGGGCAGGCATCAGCACCGTTTTGTTTTGTTATACATAAGACCACCATGAGTCAGAGCCGACTCAGTGCCAACTAACAATAAAAATAACAGGAATTATAGTACCTACCTTGCAGGGCTAAACCTTTAAGATTAAAAGTGATAACATACACGAAGCATCAGGCATTTAGTAGAGATAATTTTCTTTCCTTTCTCTTCCCTTTAGATCAAGTTTCTCAACCTTGGCAATATTGATATTTTGGGCTGGGTATTTCTTTGTTGTAAGGGCTATCCCATGCATTATAGGATATTTAGCAGAATCCCTGGCCACTACTCAATAGATGTTAGTAGGTATCCTCCAATTGTGACAACCAAAAATGTCTTCAGATATGGCCAGATGTCCCCTCGGGGGCAAAATCAGCCCTGGTTGAGAATCAGTGCTCTACATATGCATGTTAACTATCAAGTCTTCTCTGAGCCCCATAACTTCCAAAATAATTTTCCATGATTAATTTATTTGCTCTTATTTTCCATTTCAAAATACAGAGAAATACATGCAACAGAAATATGGCAATAATTTTAAATGCATAAGGAATATTTTGAATCATTATAAATGACTTTCACAAGGGAGACACACAAAACATTAACTTTATGTGAATAATAGACTCAGCTATCTCTACATCTACTAACCTATATTTTCAATCATTATGGTGCAGGGGTAAAGCTTTTCTATCACAACCGACCAGTCCTTGAAAACCAGCTCACCCAATTCCTGGAGATCTTTATAAAATCTGACAGGGAGCCCTCTGCTGATAATCTTGGCCTTAAGCTTTCCAATTCTTAACTGTTCCTCATTGTTATTTAGAGAACAGGAGGATAGGACCTCCTTTTCCTCATCTAAAGTCTTCAGCAGAGTAGTTCCAGTCCTAAAGTAAAAATACTGAAATTGCGACTCGTTCAGAAATGTTGCTTGGATGATCTCAAACTCTATCAGACTGCAGTTGGGATTCTCCAGGACCCAAGGATAACCATTTTTTGCAGCGACATAGAGATTCTGTTCTACTTTGGATAAATGTGACAAGTCAGTGGCTTTGGAGAACATGAAAGGTGAGTATTCAGAGAGAAAGTCTCCGTATGTCTGACCCAGCATGCAGATGAAAAAGGGAAGGCAGCTATTCACATAGTCCAGACAGAGCTTCAGATGTTGAGACTGGAGACAGGAATGCTGCCTAAGGAGGTTGGAGGAAAAGGGTTCTTGGGTTCTCAATGCTGACCATCTCAGGTCCACAGCTTTGAAATATGTGCCCCGTGAGTTGCAGAGTTTATTAAGTTGAGGAAAGATATGCTTTACCAAAAAGTCTCTCTCTTCTTCAAAATCACTCAGAGTCGAGCAGATATAAGGCTGAATGGGTTTTGGGGGCTTTAAAACATATTGGGCATACCTATCTCCCTTCTTATTTGCCTTCTGGCTCATTTTGCTTTGCTCCACAATGAAGTCATGCTTAAAAGAGAACAATTTTCATCCTGGAACAGTCACAAACTTCCCCTGCTTCTAAATCTTCCTCCAAATTATGTTTGTTGTGAATAGATTGAAATCTTTTTCCAAAATAGTTTATTTCTTGATGACACTTGAAGGTGAGAGAGGCCAACCTATGGACAGATCAGAGTTGAAAATCAATCTAGTTTAAGTTAGGACTGGAAACACACACACACACACAATTTCAGGATTACAAGAAGTTTCATGTCTTTCGTTTGTTATCACCAAAGCCTTGGCTGAAGACATGAGAACCACAAGGAGAGTGGGCACTGGATATGGTGCCTCTCCTCTTTTCCCCAGCCTCTCACACCACTTTTTCAGTGTTGCTTTGGCCAACTCCTACTTCTATTGTTGTTATTGTCATATGCCATCGAGTCGGACCTGACTCATAGCAACCCCTCCTTGGGTTTCCAAGGCGGTATCACTAAGGAAGTAGATTGCCCAACCATCCTTCCAAGGAGTGGCTGGTGGGTTTGAACCTCCAGTCTTCTGGTTAGCAGTCAAGTGCCTTAAGCACTATGTTACCAGAGCTCCTACTTCTACCCCCTATAAATTTCAAAATTATGCAAGACAATATGCTGACAGTATGATGAGGAAGACAAGCCTAAGAAAGGAGCCTAATGTATCTAGGAGCAGAAAAAGCCGAGAATGACCTATGACTGTGGCCCAAAGCAGAAATGAAAATAGGAATGAAGCCAAGGTTAGGAAAGAAGAAACAAATTAAAGTATCATAAGGCCCAGGACTAGTAATACTGCTGGCAACTGAGAGGCAAGGAAATCTGGATCTAAGAACCTTACGGAAGTCTGTGATTTTATATTTTAAGTTGAAGTTATTACAATATTCCATTCTCCTCTACAGGCTGGGAGTTTAACTATATTGAAGTATTGGAGAAACATATACCTCCAATAGTGATGCAGATGAGCTTGGAAGAACTCACAGGGAAAAAAAAAAAACAAAAAACTAAAACCAACATTATCTACTTCTATGAGCTTTGTCTTGATGCAACTCATTTTCATACCAAATGTCTGTTGCTGTTGTTGTTGTTATGCTTTTTGCTTTAAATTATAGAGAAGTATATCATATTACAGGCATACCTCAGAAATATTGTGGGCTTTGCTCCAGACCACAAGCATGTATCACAATAAAGTGAATCACATTAATTTTTTTGTTTCCCAGTGCATATAAAAGTTATGTTTATACTATAGTCTATTAAGTGTACAATAATATAATGAAAATATGAGAATTACCAAAATGTGACACAGAGACACAAAGTAAGCACATGTTCTTGGAAAAATGGCACCGAAAAATTTGCTTGACACAAGGTTGCCACAAACCTTAAATTTCTGGAAAAAAAATAAAGTGAAGGGCAATCAAATGAGGTGTGCCTGTATAATGTGTAAGGCAAATTTTCACATTGGTAGATACTATTACTATGCTATTTTACAGATGAAGAAATGGAAGTTCAGACAGAATGAGCACATGTTCAGACACTTAGCTACTAAGTGGGGAGCCAGGATCAGAACACAGGTCAGCCAGACTCCAGAACACATACATTCTACTGCCTCCATGTTATAGAGATAAGACTCTGCTATATGGTCATGAGGACACTATAAAAATCAATGGGCAAGAAATGTTATTCAGAAGTGTGAGAATTCCGGTAAGATGGAGTACTAGGCAGAAAGACTGCACAGACCCTCTTCAACAAAGAAAAGGGAAACCAATTAACACAGACACAGAAGATAATCCTGGACCCCCAAGCCTTGAAGGGAAGGATATAGAAGTGGACTAAACCCCAACTAGCAGAAGAATTTGCATGAAAATATCAAAAAAGGAAACATAGGGAGCTGCGGCCTGGCAGCAATCCTGAGCAATCCTGACGGCTCAGACAGCTTGGAGAGTGCCGAGTGGTGGTAGGACCTAAGAATTAACCTAAAAATCAGCCCTACTAACCAGGGACAGCACAGAGGACTGACTGCTGGGGAATAAATGGAGAAGGTGAAGAGAAGGCGGGCTGAGCTGTGGACTTTTGCCTGTCTGGAGGACGCTGCCATTTTGAATGTTTACAAGTGGCTTAACTATTTTGGATATTTAAAGAGACAGTGCTCTCCCAGATTGCAGGGGCTTAAGAATACGTTCTGCTTGCCAGCAAACCCCAAGGACACTCCGGACTGGCACGAATGAAAAGGTGTGACATTCCTCTTGTTACTCTTATACCCCACACCCGCTTGGTGAAAAGAGGTGCAGCCATCCCCCACTCCCACTCACTTTCTGGGCCTGCAGGAACTCCATCACAGTCTGTGTGCTCAGACAGAGCCTGGTTGCCCTGCCCTGTCCTCCACCAATCTTTTTTTTTCTCTTTTTTAATTTTTTTTTTCTTTTTCGATTTCTTTTTTCTGGTGTTTAGTTTGCTTGTATTTGTCTGTTATAAAACTACTATTATTATTAATACTTTTGTCCTTTTTACTATTATTCTTTAGTCTTTCCCTCCAAGGTCCTAGTTTTCAGCATTTTTTCTTTTCCCTGTTCCTGGTTGAAAAAAAAAATTTTTTTTTAATTTAATGTTTTTCCCCTTTTTTTTCTCGTGGTTAACCCCATTCTCTGTTTTTCTTTTTGCATTTTTCCCATTTTTTTTTCTTCATTATTATCCTTCTCTACCTTTTTTCTCTTAATGCTCTATCTATCCCCAGATATTACAGGTTTTCTTGGTTTTTTTGCTTCTTCTTTTTCCCTTTTTCTTTTTTTGGTTACTGTTCCTGTGTGATTACATGCTGTGTATTTTGTCCATGTGCTTTTAGTTGTTTGATGGTTATTCAATTGTAATTTGTGTCTAACTGAGTGGGAGACAGCAACAGTCCCCATAAGACACAACTACACCCACACCTCCTGCAACTTCACTTACTGAGCAAGAGCCCCTACCTCCTCCTCCACCAACAGGCCAATGATAAAAAACCACCAACAAGAGCCTGATTCACCCTTGGCTGCTCTTCAAAAACAGTTAACAGAGATCTAAATACAACAATGTCACGA